GAGAAAGGAGACTCACAATATATATATATATATATATATATATATATATATATATATATATATATCATTTTGTTTGTTAAAATTAAAATATTATTAGGAAAAAATCAAATCCATAAACTATGGATTTATTAAACTTTTGTTATGTATTTAGAATCTGATATTTGAAGTCCATAAATCTTAATAGTATATCTATGTTTTTTTCTTTAAATAGTTTGATGAATAATAATAATAATAATAATAATAATAATAATAATAATAATAATAATAATAATAATAATAATAATAATAATAATAATAATAATAATAATAATAATAATAATAATAAAAAACACAATATAAACACCTAATTGTGCATTCAATTTGAGGAAATTAAATCCATTAACAGATTAAAATAAAATTAAAATGTAAGAAGAGTAGCGTAAAGGAGTTGATTCCAGGTATCGGGTACCCCAGGCAAGCACCAATGTGTGCAATCCATTCCAATTTTCTTAGGGTTCCCATAAATTGAAGGGTGCCCATCAACCCTAAATTTTGACAATTCCTCAATATCTAATAAATGAACCGGTTTCTTTAGCCTCTTCAACACTTTTTTTAATATGAAGTCTGCAGACCTGTAATTAATCACTTCGCCCTCCACCGTCGCCGCCTGCTTCAGCGGCTCCTCTTCTCCTCCACACCGTTGTGTCTCCGGCATACCCCAATCGCTCGCACTGTTTCCGAAACAAAAGAAGTGCATTTGAAGAATAAGTATACGGTTGATTTAAACTTTATGTGCACCTTGAGTATCTATAGACTATATATACATACTCAAAGAAATAAGTTTTTACTCTTTCCTTCCTATTAAGAAAAGTAATAAATGTGCATAGTTTTTAGGAAATTCTTAATAAAACGACTCTTCTCATTAATTGTTTCACCATTAATTCTCTTCAAAGTCGCAAGGAGAAATTTGTGAAAAATACAATAAATACATTATTGTATTACGAAGTGACGCAATTATTTGAAACAAAACATCTTTTTTTTTTTCAAAACGACAAATAAAATGACAAGAAAGAGTAATTTTTAATTTGTTTGTTGTAACTTTATGATCTTGAAAAGGAAAATTTGGTTAATGTGTCATCTAAATGTAAGTTAAGCTTTCTAATCATATAAAATGACATAGTAAATCAATTACACATTCCCAATAACACCAAGGTAAACACTCCGTCCCATATTATAAGTTTTTTTTTTTTTTTTTATCGTGCTCATGTTAAAAAAAAATTAAGAAATGTGCATAGGTTAAAGCAAAAAAATAGAAAATCACTAAAATATTCTTGTGATTAATTGTTTTTCAGTTAATTAATTAAGAGTGACAAATAGTAAAATTGAAAATAGTGCAATTAATTATTTATTAAAATTATAAAGTGGTAAATAATTTGGGATAAAAAACTTTTTTAAAAGACAAATAATATGGAACAAAGAGAGTGAGCTAGAGTGCATTTTTCATAATTGTGGGTTAGTTCCAATAGTTATTGTACGACCAAACATCAAATAAGTCATAATTATTTAAAAAACGTGTTATTTCCACCCTCAAAATTTCTTATTTCACCATCAAATTAAATATATGTCCTATTTTACAACGTTCTTCTTATTTCATTTATATTTTTTAAAAATTTGTAAAACGTCCACCACTAAACTAATTAAAAAATTTATAAAAAAGCTCCACCATTTTTACTGGAACTTTTACCATAAAATCTCACCCTCTCCATCTTAAGTGAAAAATACTTTCGTTAGACAAAAACATTTTCGAAGGTCAAAAAGAGCAGGAATTCACGTTCTTGGATAAATAAATTAAGAGTGCTTGTATGGAAGGTCTTGGACGTCCTCCATAATTGGCCAATTCGGCTAATTGATATAATTTCATTTCCTAAAAAAAAAACTATATAATCCATAGGTCATATATGGAAGTTTAAATATCTTGTAGTAAATGTTTCATTGCAAAAAAGATTAAAACATAAAAATAATAATAAAAAGGTTAAAGAAATTAAAAATTAAATTAAAAAAATAAAATAAAATAGAAATAACTTAGAACGCATGAGAATTAAAGGAATATAGGGAAGGGTGGTAAATTATAAATTTGAGAGTATTTATGATATTTTATACATCTTTGGTGGTGAATTGAGATATTTTGGAGGTGGACCACTCTTATTTAATTGATCATACTCAAATTTAAAAAAAAAAAAAAAAAAAAAAGAATTACTTCAAATAAGACATAATTATTTAATTGATCATACTCGGATTTAAAAAAAAAAAAGAAAAAAGAAATAAGAAAAAAGAAATAAGAAGAATTACTTACTTCCAATGATCAGGAGAAACACCCTGAAAAAACACCTTAACTCTGTTTGCATCCAAATTTTTGTTTATCCATTTTGTCCACGTCATCAATCCTCTCTCGTAAGCCTTCAACCTATCCATTTCTTTCCTCATTATTTTTCCATCTTGGATCAAATCCCATCTGCAATACACACAAATTAAATAAAAATTAACAATTTATTATTATTATTATTATTATTATTATTATTATTATTATTATGATCTCACGGTTGCTTTCGTCCGGTGTGAAGCCACCAGTGCCACGTGTCGAAGATCAAGACGTCCGTTTGGAGCCATTGATTTGCAGTTGCAGAATTAATGGAGTCGAGTTTCAGCACTTTGTGTGTTTTCTGTATCTCTAAGTCCACGATCAATGCATTCCGCATGTACATCAACGTAACATTCAATTCCTGCAACCAATCAATTAGTACTAATTGTTCTTAAATAATTTTCAAAATTCATTAATTAGTATAATAATATAGAAAATAAATAATAATAATAGGCAAATTCCGGCCACCCTCTGAGTTTCGGTCAAATTACGAAAACCCCCTTCCTGTTTGTGTAATTACAGCCACCCCTCAACTATGTATTATCTTACGAAAATACACCTCCAGAGATAAATTTAGGGATGTTAATTAATTTGGTTATTTACCGAACCGAAATTTCGATACGCCAACATTTCATACCGTTTACCGAACTGCATATACGATTTTGTTCGGTAAATAACCAAATTACATAAATTTTATGTAAAAATATTTAAAAGGAGGGGTGGCTGTAATTAACAAAACAGGAGGGGTTTTTTCATAATTTGATTATACCTAATATAATAAAACGTGATTAATTAATAAAGTAGTAATAATAATACCGGAAAGAAAATGGTGGATAAAGGGGGCGTATTAGTAGGGTGGTAAGGAGAACGTGGGTAAGAAGAAAGAATCATGCAGGCTAAAGATTGCCATTGATTCATGCTTAGTGAGTCTCCCACGAACATTATGCGCTTCCCTCTCATTTTTCTACCAAACTCTCTCTCATCCCACCTACACAAAAACCACCATATAATATCACTTTCTCTCTCATCAATATTCTTTTTTTTTTTTTTTTTTTTTTTTTATCATATTTCCTCACAAAATAAATTAAATAAATAAACAATTGAAAATGTTCTTCTTCGTTGTATTGAGTTTTCGTTGAAATGGGCGTAAACAAGACTTAATTGTTATTTTTATATGTGATTGATGCACGATTCAAAAAAAATATATGTAATAAGTAAATCGACTCTAGAAAAAAAATGTGCAGTAACACTTACGATAAATGTACCAAATTCAATTTTCATGAACATGTAAATTAAATAGATAAATACTTGTAAAATTTATATAGAACCATATGCATGCACTATATCTTTATGTTGTATTAATTGGTTATTACATAAACAAAAACCGCGTAAAGATGAAAAATGTTTTCGATGAATGTCACTTAAAAAACCGAAGTCATGGAATCCGAACCGGTAAATGTATAAACGAATATTAATCGAAGTAAAAATCGTTGAACGATGATTCTCTTTTTTTAAATAATAAAAAAAAAAGGAAAAAAAGAAGAAGCAATAATTAATGTACCTAGTTAAGTTGCAGTTGTTGGGCTGCCATCTGTACTTCTGGTAACGGAGGTCGGGGCGTCCATTTCCGGGGCAGTTAAACTGTTGAAGAATGAGTGGACATTTCGCAGAGTCGTAAAGCGGATACGATTTGTCGAAAACCCAACTCCCTTTGTATAAATCGCATTTCGTATTATCGTCTTTGTGTTCAGCGTTTGAATCATGTGTGAGAAGTGATATTGTAACTGCAAGAACTGCAGAAACTACCGATACTTTACAAGCAGTATTACTCATATGATCTGATGAGAGAGAGAGAGAGAGAGAGAGAGAGAGAGAGAGAGAGAGAGAGAGAGAGAGAGTAGTGGGTTTAAGGTTTCAACTAATTAGTAGATATTTAATAATGGATGGAGAAGTATGTACGGGGTAGTGAATGAGTTAGTACCCATGCAAAAAGTACTTCATTGAACAAAAAAACTCTAAAAAAAACAATCTTTGGTGAACGCTACCTAATTTAATACTTCCACAATATTTGTTTCTTTAAAGATTTTTTTTTTCGCAAATTATTGCTTGGGGGCAGCGACCCCTGCATAATTTTTTTATTTATTCTTTTCTTATTTTTATTTATATATATATATATTTAGTGTATTTGTCCCCTACAAATTAAAATACCCACTTGTAGTTGTTTTTCAGTTTACTTAAATAATATTAAAATGATATCATTGTTATATTAAAATTAAAAAAAAATCAAATACTCACATATTTTTAGTCAATTTTTTTTATAAACTATCCATAATAAAAATTGGGGGTGTATCTTTGAATCCCCCTAAATTCTTCGTTATTTTAACTAACTTCGACACCCGAACTCGATTTGATAGATCATGTAGCAGTTTCTAAGGCAAATTCCAAAAAAAAAAAGGTAATTAAGAATGGATAATTCATCATAGACGAAACAATTTCTAAATGAGTTTCTATTTATTTTTTTCTCTCAACTACTCCATTCTACTATGCCGGACCAGTGTTAACAATTGGGATGATCAAATTTCTTGTTAAACCAAGTAATTTTCAAATATTGTGCCTACCATATATTCGCCACATCGATCGGAACAAAGTGATTCGATATGTTTATTTAAGCGCATCATGTACTTGGCTTTAAATCCTCTGTATTTCTCAAAAACCTCATATTTATGACGCATTAAATAAAATACATCCATAGCGGGAATAATCATGAATAAAAGTGACAAAGTACTCGTAGTCGCGTCTAGCTGCAGTCCACATACATCGAAATTGATTATTTCTAATGTTTATTTGGTTTTATATCCCTAAGTCGTAAGGGGCCTCTTGGTTATTTTACCCTCCAAATAGGATTTACAAATTGACAAGTCTTGAACTTCTAATGAACTTAAAGATCCATATTTGATCATTCATTGAATCCTATCAAGATTAGTGTGACCAAGTCGTAAATACCACATTTATGTTTCATTAATGCATGCTAGACAAAATGTTTCTGGTTTTAGTTTGATTTATTTAGGTATAATTAGTTATGACAACAACGACCAAGAAGGTGTACGATTTAAGACGTAAAGATTATCTACTAATGTGCCGCAACAAATCAATCGATTGTTTTCTTGAATTAAAATGGAACTTGAATTGAAAGCAAACATAAATATTGTCTTTAACTAATCTAGTTAACTGAATTTAAATTTCTTCTAATGGTTGATACATAAAGACAATCATTTAGTACCAAAATCCTCTCACTTCTAAAGCGTAATGTAAAATTTTCTATCATTATTGCTCCCACTTAGGTTGAGTCGTCTAGGTACAACTACATTTTTCTTTCATTAAGTTGTCTGGTTCGTCAAAACCTCTGCAAATAATTACAAACATGATCAGTGGCTTCCAAACCTATGCAATATTGATTGGTGGATTGGACTACAAAGCATGACTCAATAATATAGGGAAAAAAATGTATGTTGCTTGGCTAGGAATTCACGTCACTTATTATTCCCGTGCCCCTTTGCTTCACTTTGAAAGAACTTGCCATTCGGCTGCTTGTCTCCACCACTGCACGGTATTGGCCTCTATGCCAAGGAGCAATCCTTTTGTACGAGTTGCTCTTGATGATTCCCTGGGCTGCTTGAAACTTCTTTACCAATGTCGTCGACAGTGAATGAATCATTTTATTGATTTTGTAGTTGGATTGAAAATTGCCAAAAAAAATTGGGCATCGACTGTAGAACGATATCGACTTGAGTTTATCATCGATCTCAGACCCTATGGTACTCAACTCGCTCAAAAGACTCATCCTCTTTAGGACGTGATCCCTCACCAATTATGTGATCCAAGAAGCATTGAAAATTTATTTGGAAGGGCTACAACTTCTATCTTTGTACGATTGTAAAATTTTGAACCCTATGTGAGTCAAACTCAAGTATAACATTGAGTGATGCGCAATCACACCCTTCTGCTTCCTCACACCACGGTCCAAGTTTATTGTATAATTTTGGGACGACAATGAGGTACAAGAATTTTAAAAAAGAACTCGCGAGAGTTGGGATGTTGACCCCACAAGTTTATTTCCTACTTATAAATACCCAAATTATCACAAGTTATTTTTATCCACACAACAAAATTTGATTTCGATTAATTAAATCTACGACTAACTATGAAAAACACAAAGAAATGGAAAAAGGCAAATAACGGATGATTAATTCAAATCGAAAAATCCACAATTTCATCTCCCTCCGATGTTTTCTTGTTGAAAATAAAACCCCTAATCATACAAGCTACCAAAATAATTTATTAATTTGGGATGCTAGGCCTTCGTAATGAATTATAACCCTAACATGCATAATCAATCTACGATACATCTGTGTAAATCGATTATTGTTGAGTGTATATTAATTTGGGATGCTAGACCTTCGTAATGAATAATGTGACTTATCCATTGGTGTACTTATAATTGAAGTTGTCATTAATTTTGCCGGTTGCAACCGCATCAGTTGAAAGAATATTCTTTGCAATGAAGATTGTTAAGTCGGAGCTACGCAATCTAATGGGGGATCAAATGTTGAATGATGTTTTGGTGTCGTACATTGAAAAAGATATATTGAACGGCGTTAGTATTGATGAGGTGATGATTTTTTTTCAAGAAATGGGACCACGCCGAAAGATATTCTAAAACTTTATATATTTATATGTAAGAGATGTACATTTTTATTGTCTTGTACACTTTTTTTTTTTGCATGTTTATATTTTTTTATTAAATTCCGCACACCTTTGACGTAAAACCTGGCTTCGCCACTGTACAGAGATGACCATGGTGGAGCGGAGGAGAGATCTATATGGCGGTGGAGATGGGAAGAAAGGAGAGATCTTCGGTTTTAATATATACACAATCAGATTTTAGATTTTTTTTTTTCATTTTTTTTTTCCTTCTTGGTGTTTTTTTTTCTCAAAAAATAAAATAAAAAACTGAACGTAATAAAAACCAAACACGGATATTACTATTTTTTCCTTTTCTTTTTCTTTTTCTTTTTCTTTTTCTTTTTAGGTTTTTTTTGGTTATTTTTTGTTTTTTATTTTGTTTTATGTTGTATTTTAATGAGGGTAGTGTAGTCACTTTCTTTTAGTCAACATATTTATTTCCACTAGGGGAAAGTGAACTAAATAAAATGCAACATATGATGTTAATTGCTATGTTTTTTAACATGGGAGTTTTTTTAGCCATTAGAGATTACAAAGAGGAGTTTGTGCAAATAACTCCAAATAAAACACAACATATAACAAACCTAAATAATAAAATGCATATGATATAAACTTACAACCATAACTAAGTTAATAAATAAATATACTTCGGTATTCCGGTAATGTGAAACTCTTGGATTTAGACTCTTATTAAAATAGAAAGTCCGAGAATCCCCCAAACAATAAAAAATTGGCATGTTGTCCAGATTTTGTCTCGTGTGCCCGAACATTCCAAGAAATAAGAAAATTCCCAAGTTTTACTAGGTTGTAGAAAATTGAATTCTACTCACGAAGACTCGGAGCCGTTTCTTCAAAACTCGAGCCGAATTTGAAAAAGTTCTTTCTGCGAATTGAACTCGCTGCTGGGCTACGACAGTCTTGCTTTGTGGGCGTTGTACGTGTTGCACACATGCCGGGGTGGGGTGGTAACCATTCTCTGTTTGTCTCGTCGTTTCGATCTTCATTTTTTTACGAATTGCTCTCACGAAAAATTTGCATGCTAAATTATATTTTATCTATCTAAAACTAATCTAGAAAATTCATAAAATTAAAATGTAGCAGCCACAAAATATCTTGCAATGGATTGTTTTCATGAAATTTGGGGAACATGGTAAATTTAAAATGGATTTACTAAAGAAGCTTCGCTATCAATTGTTGGATTTTGAATCACATGAACATGAACGGTGCTTGTTCTCCGATCTTCCAAGAAATCTTCCTCCACTAATTTGCTCTCAAGACCTCCGATTTCCACCACTGTACCCGGGCCTTGCCAGCAAAATACCCATGTCGCTGGTGGTCGGATCCCACATTCCACGAGAAAAAAATACCATAGAAAATATCAGTGTTCTAAAAATCGACCGAGGCGGTTGATTAATCGGTCTCTGAGGTGGAGGCGGTCCAATATATTTACAATTTTGGTGTACATGTTTGAAAAATCGGGTTTTGGCTATGAGGTGGTCCGAGGCGGGTTGAGCCGGTTAAACCTTGGAGGCGGGTCAAACTTTTGTGGCAAAAATCTGTCCAAAATCAGTTTTTTTTTTCCAATAAAAAATTGGGCTTTTAATTGAAAATGAGTTTATGATTTGTTTTGTTTATGTTAATTGTTATTTTTAAATGTCCTAATATATATGCTTGCAATGTTCAAACATAATTTGAATATAATTTTTTTTCGTTTTATTTATATTTTGTAAGGATTTTTATTTTATTATGATCATATTATTAAAGTTAATTACGTGATTCTGTTAAAAAAAGGTTAATTACGTGATTAGAATATATATACATGATGGAATATAATCATGTTTAAATATATTTTTATATATTTTTAGACTACTTTTGAAATATTTTACATTAGATTTGAAAAACTGATTTATTTTCGGATTTATAGCCTATTAATCACCGCCGTGCCGATTAATCATGAGGCAGTGCCTAACTGTCTCGAACCCGATTCCCGCTTTTAACAACCTTAGAAAATATACTCTGTTTCTTAATATTGAAGCCTTTATTTTGGTATTGTGCATATGTTTTATATTCGTCTTGCAAATAATCTCGTTAGAGCTGAAAATCAAACCAAGCTACTCGATACTCGATTCAAATTTGTTCAAAATTGCTCGTCTAATCTAGTTATGTTAGTGTGAGGAACCAAACTTGAATACATATTTTCGTTTGATAAGCTATGAATGCCTGTGTAAGCTCTGAATAACTCAACCTTGATTCGCGTTCAACTAAATTTTAAAGCTCGACTCGATTATTAATCAAATCAAACTTAGATATAATATACAAGAGCTCCATAAAAATGTAACATTTTGTTCAATTCAAAGTATAACACATTTAAATCACAAACAAAATTAATTGGTATCATATCCAAAGCAAGCTAAAACCCCACCCTTTTCCACTCACCAAAAAAAAGGGGAAAATGCTATCCTCAGCCCAAACCCCACGCTTTCTCCGCTCCACCACCGCCACCGCCACCACCTCTCTCAAATGCCTCCACACTTCCCCAATCGCCACCTCCGCCGCAATTCCGCCGCCGCCGCCCTCCCAAATCCTCACCACCCGCAAATCCCTGCTCTCCCGCCAAACCTCCGCCGTGGACCTCGCCAAATCGTTTCTCCACCGCCTCCGCCGCAGCGAGCCCCAACTCAGCAGCTTCCTGTACGTCTCTCCCGACGAAACCGTTTTAAAACAGGCCGAGGATTTGGATAAGAAGATTAAGAACAATGAGGCGGTGGGTCCACTCGCTGGGGTTTTGGTCGGGGTTAAGGATAATATCTGCACACACGATATGCCCTCTACTGCCGGATCGAAGCTTTTGGAGAATTATCGTCCGCCGTACGATGCCACGGCTGTGAGGAAGCTGAGGGAGAGTGGAGCCATTGTTGTGGGGAAGACCAATTTGGATGAATTTGGGATGGGCAGTACAACGGAAGGCTCTGCTTATCAAGTTAGTTTTTGTTTTTATTTTAGTTTTTGTTTTTTTGGTAATATGATTTGTTATCGATATGAATGTTTTGTTATTGATATACGAGTTATGTGCGTGAATTTGTTATCATCTGCATTTTAATTTAATGTTGTTAGCAGAAAGTTACGATTCGTGACGTCTCGACATACTGCATTTTAAGTAAACCTTGAAAACGGAGCTTTCTTGCGTGAGATGATCAGTTTCACCGATCGCCATTGTTAGCTGTGATCAGTAATTGAAAGTCAGTGTCCTAATTCGAAGTTTCAGAAAACATAAAAAACGGGTCAAAATATTTCTGAATGCAGAGTACATTTGATGATATCTATGTGTTATTTTCTTGGACAAATAACATACGTTAGCAATTTTAATTTTTGCCAAAAGTTTCTCTGGTCTTCGTTCATCACAGTTCTGCAGTCTTGGTGATATAGAATACGTCGTTTAACTGATTTATTTAGTTACTAACCGATAAAAAATACATCATTTGACCGTTTTTTTCCAGGAGAAAGAAGCAGATACGCAATTTACAGAACAAAAATAAAAGATCCGTGATTGTGTTTCAAGGAGCAGATACACAATTTGCAAAAAATAAATAAAAATTCAGTGATTGTGTTTCTTGATTCATTTCTTTCGTTATTTTTAATTAAATCCAAGCAGCCTGAAGAAGAGGTGTTCTGAGGAATGGACATCTTGAAAGAATCTTCTATTTGCCACATTTATTTTAAGAAATATAAATAATTCATGTCTTCTACTATATATTGGTTTTCTTCAAAAATAAGAACTCTAATGAAGTCCCGTTGCACCTGGCCTTTACTGTAATTAGAGTAACAAGATTAATCACGTGTTCTCTTATTACCACGTAGATAACTGATGAAAAACTTCTAAGTTCGAAGCGTCAATAATCACAACTCACGGTCACATAGAATCAATTTCTAAGGAAGATAGTTGTTACTTTCTTTTTTTCGGAGATGATAAATTAAAGAAGCGAAAAGTTAGGCCCTCAGTTTTACATTACGTAACTGAAAATGGTTTACTCAGGTGAAGCATGTTCGTATTCGTTAGGTGACGGCTAATCCATGGGATTTGACGCGGGTCCCGGGAGGATCATCAGGCGGCTCAGCTGCAGCTGTATCAGCCAGACAATGCATGGTGGCTTTGGGAAGTGATACAGGTGGCAGTGTTAGGCAACCAGCTTCTTTTTGTGGTGTTGTTGGACTGAAGCCGACTTATGGGCGTGTCTCGAGATATGGACTCGTGGCTTATGCTTCGTCCTTGGATGTTATTGGATGCTTTGGTTCGTCTGTTGCTGATGCTGGAATTCTTCTTCAGGCGATTTCTGGACATGATAACTTCGATGCAACAAGTAGCAAACAGGTAAAAATTCTGAATTCTTTTTTAATCTAATTGTATCAAATCATGTTGATGTCTACAATACAATGGAATTATCGACAAGGTATCAATTATAAATTTTACTAACCTCTACCTTAAAATCTTTAAAATCTACAAATATTCTATGACATTACATTGGGATCATAAGTAGCCTAGAAGTCAGTATGTTGGGCCAAATTCATTTTTTTCCAATTCAAAATAAGTTAAATTGCCTAACTATAACACGACTAATTTTGAAATTTGCGGAAGACTGAACCCTAGAACAAATAACAACGACCAAAACTAATCAAATAATCAACAGCAACGTTTTATATATGTTGGGACATACTTTATTTATGTTAGAAAATGTTTTATCTATGTTGGAGACTTATATAATTAATCATGCTATATAAATTTACAACATTCGTAAAATCTTACGATTTTACGATTCGATTTTACAGCTCCCTTTCGATTTTACTTGCATTCCCAATTTAACTACCTTGGTTATTGATTACCATCGAGAGGGTGTTTGGCTAAGTATATAAGCTCTTCAAAAGCAACTTATAAGCTCCAACCTAAAAAATCTTAATCAACTTGCAAAACAGCCATTTCTGTGAAGCTCGGTCAAGCTCAGTAGAACACTATAAAGAAAATCATCTCTTATGAACGAACTTGTACTAATAACAATGTAGCTATTCTTTTCAGGAAATTTTCGACTATGCATCACAGTTTATTTCAATAGATGACATGGAATCTAAACCCTTGCAAGGACTGAAAGTCGGTGTTATTCGTGAAACCCTTGAAGATGGAGTTGACTCGGAAGTGATCTCCTCAATCCGTAATGCTGTTTCCCATTTAGAAGATCTTGGATGCACTGCATCAGAGGTACTTTTTTCCCTCGTATTTTTTTATTAAAAAATAATGATAGGGTTCTTAGTACATTCGTTTTTGGATATTCAGGTCTCCTTGCCGTCATTCTCCCTTGGTTTACCGGCATACTACATTCTTGCTTCCTGTGAATCGTCGTCAAATTTGTCTCGCTATGATGGTGTTAGGTTATATTCTAACCTTTGTCTGTTTTAGCACTTATAATAATAAGGCCTCGTTTGGTTGATTAGCCGAGATAAAATTAAATAATCTAATAACCCAATTGTATTATTAGACCTCATATGATAAAATAATATTTCCGGGTTGACCCGGAAAATTATTGAATTTACCAAACATCAAATAAAGTCTAGTTATTTAATTAATCATGGCTTGTCTCTCCAACCAAACGAGGCCTAAGTATTTGGGGATGTGATGGTGCTGAGGTTGTTATTGACTTATGGTAGCCATATAAATTGGGAAGGTTAAACATATAGCAAATACGTCATGCAGCAGTGAATAACCTTCTGTTTCTACGTTTTGATTTGTGCAGATATGGAAACCAAGTCTTTGGTGATGAACTTAGTTCTCTTTACGGGGATTCCCGCGCACAAGGGTTTGGTTCCGAGGTACAAATTAAAAAAAAATAATGGAAATAATTTTGTTCGCTATGTACTCTGTGTTTCCGATTTAAGCATACATTTATGGAAAACATTCTCCGTCATTCTCCCACGTATTTGTGGCTGAAAGAATCTTTTTCCTATTACTTACTCGAGCAACATATTTTTTTATTATTGCAGGTTAAAATGAGAATTCTAATGGGTACATATGCTCTATCCGCTGGTTATTATGATGCATATTACAAGCGTGCACAACAGGTTTGACAATGACTGCTAAAATGACGAGCTTTCGCCCTAGAAGTGATTTATATAATTGTTTCATACAGTTCTGTTCTGAAGATTCTGATATGGTCTTACGTAATTTCACATACGAGAGAAAATTGATGAATAAGCTGATATTTCAGGTGAGGACCATAATCCGAAAGAGCTTCAAAGATGCTTTAGACAAATACGATATCTTGATATCTCCCGCTGCTCCATCTGTCGCTTATAAGATTGGTATAGCAAACTGCTCCTTTCGACTTTTTCTCTGTTATATGTTGTCTTTACTTTTGCCCTTTGCTTTATGCACCCTCATTGTTACTTATTTACGAGGTCACCTTGGAAATGGTCGTAATAAAACTGATACTTGTCCAGGTGAGAAGAAAAATGACCCATTGGCCATGTATGCAGGAGATATAATGACTGTGAGTCTCTATATACCTTTATTTATTTTGGATTAAACATTTTCATTTGGCTGCGGTTCATTCTTTAAAAAAACGAGAAGCATAAAAAAAAAGGAAAAAAAATAATTCCCTTTTTAAGTATCTATTCTGAAACAGTGGGTGGTTTTATTTGCCGACTCTTTGCGATAACTTTAACAATTTGATGCAGGTGAACGTGAACTTGGCCGGTTTACCTGCATTGGTTTTACCGTGTGGATTTGTTGAAGGGGGCCCCGCTGGCCTGCCTGTTGGATTTCAAATGATTGGAGCAGCATTTAACGAGGTAGGGCAATTTTTGGTCGAATCTTTATTCTGGGTTATTGAGTGGGGGACAATAATTATCGGTTGTATAATGAATTACTCAAAATTGATCTTTGCCTGAAATTACTGGGATTTCGTTCTTAATCAATATCTCTGCATGTAGGCTTAAATCACCTGTTGCCTCCCTTTAAGGCCAAATGAATCTCGATTGAAGTCTTTATTGGTATTCATAAACCTAAATGTTATTGCAGGAGAAGTTGTTAAAGATAGGCCACATTTTCGAGCAAACGCTCCAAGGTTGTTCTTTCATTCCCCCACTTGTAGCTGACGAAGCGACTTAATAATCACCCCGTTTCTCTGTCGTTGCTTGGTGGATGCAATAACTTTGGGTAGGTTTTAACAAGAATGAGAGAGGATTATATTCTTTTTGTGCAGTTTCACCTCTGCCAACAGAACCGTCAAAGAGAACAAGTTCCTGCATTCGCTTTCGTTAAAAGCCATTGAGTTTATGGTGCAAAAGTGTAACAATTAAATTAATTGCATTGATTATGAATGATGTATTTCAATTCTTGTGATTTGAATAAATTTTTATTTATGATGCGTTTAATTCAAACGACTATTTTCGTTGTTACCATATTACCATATGATTTTCAATTTTTACGCAAGTTAATAGTACCTTTTTATTTTGGGGTAATTAGCTGAAAGTTGATTTTCATAGTAACAAGGAGTCAAGGACTATACCTTTGGTCTCGATAAAAGTCTCTTCCATAAATTCTTTTAAAAAATATAGCGCATCACAAGTTTTTCCACATACGAACGGCTACGAATTTGATCGATAACTCTTTTTGCTTTGTCGGCAGATAGAGATATATGTCGACCTAAAGCGTATACTTTCCTTTTGTTCTTCTTTAGCCTTAGCATAAGGTTTCGCTCCTATTAAATGAATCCTAATATCTATATTTTTTTTTTTAAGATAAGATTAACGACCAGTTTTATTATCGCTGTTTGCATGTCCTCGAAAATTTTAAGTAGGTACAAGTTCTCCCAATTTGACTTACCATATGATCGGTTATATAAATAAGAAAATATTCTTTACCATTATGAATTACAATGGATCAAAGAGAGGGAGAAACATGAGCTTTCTTATTTCTATTGAACTAGATAAGATCAAACAAAACCCCAACAAGTATAATAAATTCCTCTCTCGTGATCGAAGAGGGGAAAAAAATAATCTTTTTATCAAGAGCAAGCCAATCATTAACAATGGAGTTCATGAAGGGGTCAAGTTCTCGAAATTCCATTTTCAGATAAACCAAACATGATAAGTAAAAGGACAATTGATAAAAAAGATGATCGACACTTTCAACACAATTATTATAGAGTAAGCAATCAATCAACCGTTAAGTTTAGACTTTGTGTGATGAAGATCATTAATAATCCTTCAGAATAAGAGTTTGTGCTTGTTGTGAAGTTTAGATTCCAGGCGTTTTTCCACTTGAAAGAGTGGGGATTGTTTAGGTTATGAAAACCGGATCTTTAACAAGCATGACGGAATCGGAGTAATGTAAAAGATGATTTTGAGAAGGCCTAAAACCAAAAGGAGGTTGTTAGAATCCGAGAGGATTCTGACTTTATTTTTCAGCACGTGTGTCTAAAGCTAGGGAAGTTTCCTTAATGTTTTAAACTCTTATTTTGTCATTAATTTATTTAATAGTGCGAGTCATGTGTTAACAAGGAATTTCCTCCACAAAGACTTTCCTTATCACACAATTCCTTTTCCTTACGTAAGATTTAAACTAACCTAATGGGCTCTATTGTTTTGTAGGGCTCGTCTATTCAACCAAGGAAGTATAAATATAGGAGCACCAGAGTGTTGTAAGGCAGTCCTTTTTGTGAGAGAGAATTTCTACTCTTTTTACGTTGCTGCTCCTGATATTTGATCTTTTTCGAGAAGAGAAATATATTCAAAGGTTTGCTTCTTTCACGTGAAAAGAAGATCGGTTCTTCGGGAGGAGGTCGATCCGCCGAGGGATTCAGCGCCTGAAGGGATTTCAACCGTGCGGAGCAATGGACGTGCTGCAAAGTGAAGATTGATAATTCAGCGTCGTATACAAGAACGGCGTCGACAAAGAGGGAGTCTTTGTATTTTGATTAAGTCCTATTATTGTATTCGTAAAACTAAAAAATTAGTAAATTTCATTTGCAGGTCCCCGTGGATATATGGTACAATTGTATCCGAACCATTTTAAAATTTGTGTCTTTTTTTATTACTGTTTCATTAACTGTTGCACCTCTCCGTAAAACAGTAAACAATATCTAAAACTGGATTTGGGATTCATCCAACACAAATATATAATTAATCTGCACGAAATAATTATAACAATGGAGGTGATCCAAGGGTCTTGCCAAATGAGAACATCAGAGCAAGAGTTAAAAATGAAAACATGCACCTTTAAGAATAAGCTCTCTAGATTTTTTAAAAGTTGAAAAAAAGGTCATCATGGAGAAAGAACTTCCCTCCAAAATATTTGGATTTGAGCAGAGGCCCCCAAAGTTTGTCATTGTTGGCAACAAGGTTCCATGAAATCTTTAAGAAAAGAGTTTTGTTGAAATCAGACGTTTTTCTAAAACCGTGTCCGCCATTTGATTTAGGAGCACAAATAGTGTCCCAGCTCTTCCACATTAAATCAGTTTCCATTATTGTTTTCTTTCCACCATAATTTTTTGATCTTTGTATCTAATTTATTGCATTAATTTTTAAGGATTACGGAGACTTACATGGTATATATATATGATGTAATGACTTGGGCAACAAATTTAAGGAGAATGGTTCTGATTTTCAACGATTGAGATTGGATGAGATCTTATAAAAAAAAAACATCAATAAATTGTGTCTTTTCTAGATTTTGGGTGGCAGAAAGAAAGCCCCAAGTGTTTGGCTTGATGGTTACATTCCTCGAACTCAAGGGTATTAAGAGTGTCAATCTTTGTTTGGGGAGGAGTGTTTTTACTAAAGTGAAGCCGGGATTTGTTCTTGTTAGCACACTCACCGGACCAGATGAATAATTTTTCCAAGACATTGTTGATGCATAGAGCATCTCCAGTAGTGGCCATACAAGAAATTGACAAGATCATCAACATACAATAAATGAAAAATTGAAAGGCTAGTTGTTGAAATTTTTATCCCTTTTAAAATGGTTCAATTGTTTTTCTTTAGAATCAGAAAAAAAAATATAAGAGATGGGATGGGATCTCCCTGTTTGATTCCTCTGGAAGGCTTGATATTACCAAATGGAGAAACATTAATCAAGAAAGAGAAGTTAGCAGAAGAAATGCATTCTTGTATCAAATAAAAAAAAAATGTTAGTGAAACCTAGGTGTTTAAATTAATTCACTCAAAACAAGGCTCCACTCAATCCTGTCAAATAGGGGTGGGCATTCGGGTCGGGTTATTCGGGTATGACCCGACCTGGTCGGGTATTACCCGACCGGATCGGGTAATTTTTGAGTTAACCGGGTTTTTTCCGGGTTCGGGTACCCGGTACTTCCAAACCGGGTCGGGTCCGGGTATTAGTAATTCTAGCCGGGTACCCGATCGGGTACCCGGTTAAAAAAAAAAAAAAAAAATTATATATTTAATAATTATATATAACCCAGAAATCCTCCATTAACGGACGGACCTTCTGGTAGAAAAGCCAACGCTTTTAGGTGGTCGTCGAAACCCATTACGAAGAGCGCCACCCCTAAAGACACAGCTCCCAGAATCACCATTCTTGAATGTTCTGTTTTCGAGGTTGTAGTAAGCGACGGCGGCGGCGGCGATTCTCCGCCTAAAAATCTGATCTTGGGAAGTGGGTTGTGGGTTTTAGGTCGGGGGATCTTTCTACATGATGGGTTGTGGGATTGGCGTGGTTGAAGTGAAGATGAACCCTCAGCGTGTTCATCGTCTTCGTTGGGAGATTATTGAATCTCTGTATTTTAATTTAGATGAGTGGTGGTGGTGGTGAAGGCAATGAGAATTTTGATTTTCTTGCCTATATCTACAGAAGAAATAAATAAAAAATACAAAAACATAAAAAAAAAAATTTAAGAAAAAAAAAGAAGAGAAAAATAGCAAAACCCGAACCCGACCCGAACCCGACCCGAAATAACCGGGTACCCGGTTGCCGGGTACCCGGTTATTTCGGGTCGGGTTCGGGTAATATTTTTTTTGCAAAAAACCCGAATAACCCGACCCGAATAACCCGAATAACCCGACCCGACCCGAATGCCCACCCCTACTGTCAAATGCTTAGGCTAGATCAATCTTGATGGAGCCTTTTTTGTGATGCAGTTGATGAGAAATAATGGTGTTATCATGGATATTTCTACCCAAAATCAAAGTTATTTGGAAAATGGGAAATAAATCTGACAAGAAGGTTTTTCTTTTCGGTCTACAATCAACAATTTTTGAAATTGTTTTGTATGTAAAATTGCAGAGCCTTATGGTCCTAAATTGATAATCTCTAGAGGCCTTTTGGTTTTTGGAATATGAGCAATGGAAGTTCAATGAAGGGCTTTGAGCAAATGACCAGTTTTTGAAAAAAAAAAAATGGCTCCAATGAATGCATTTTGAGAGGATTTTCAGAAGATTTTGAAGAAAATGGGGACCATCCGGACCTGGACTTTTGTTAGATGCGAAAGAGAAGATTAGAATTCTTGATTTCTTGAGACAATTTCAAAATGATTAGAATTTCCAGAGTTTGAGAGCCGTTTTCACATTTTTTACTCTAGAGTAAGAAGAAGAGCCAGTAACTTGTTGGTTTGGTTCCAACCAGTGTGCACTGTATCAAAACAAGACTTATCATCCAACCACATAGATTCAAATTTAAAGGATTTTGGAAAGTTTGAATAACGGAAGTGTTGAGAAGAAGAGGGTTATTATGATCAGAGGAGATGGCAAAGTAAATGGAGGATGCTCTAATATGATGAAGAATAACTCCTGTCTATTATTTGTTGGATGTTTGCAAGCCCCCTCTTTTATTATTCTAGGTAGAAGAGGGAACATGAAAACAAAAAACAACGAGGCCAAGATTTTCAAACTCAGAAAATGGAGGTTGCTTGGAGGCGGTTTTGCACTTTTCATCCTCCTCGGGCTGCAACTCAACAATCTCATCTTGCATCCTTTCAATTTTTTAGCATTAATGAAAACGCTACTTTGCAAAGGGATTTGTAGATTTATACCGGTTGTCCAGGTAAGAATAAGCCCACCAACATAGCCAACATAGGAAACATTTGTGAAAGAATATAAAGAGTTGAGGATAGACTATGGTTCGAGATGAGGAGAAACTGAGGTGTAGGTGTATGGAGGAACATATGATTGGGGATGACAAGTTTGCTCATGAGTGAATTATAAAGAAGGTGTATTCATTATCAATGATTGGTGGGCTCGTTGTCATCATAGAAGCGTAGGGGTGGACATCGGATCACAATTTCCGATTTCCGCCGATTCCGATCCGAATATTTTCGAATTTCAGAATTCCGATCCAAAGTAATTTCGAAACTTTCCGATTTATTTTTTATATTAAAAAATTATTATATGTATATAAGGTCACACTAATTTTCCTATTCCGGGATGGGCCATAAATTTATTTCTTCTAAAAATATAATTCTGACCCATGTAATTAATAAACTTACAACTACCAACCCTTTTCAATTCTAACCTAATTTATTCATTTCAATTCTAACCAATTTTCTTCCGCCGCCGCTGTTTCAAGTTTCTCTTTGCTTTTTTCTTCTTCCTTCTCCGCGGTGGCGCCCCTTTGCTCAATCTTTCTATCCTTTGTCATTATGTTTCGATCGATATTAGCCACCTACAGAAAACTTCGTACTTTTTTCTTTTGTAATTTCAACATATTTTGTAATTTTAACATCTTGATTAAATAAAAATAATAGGAAAAGGTGGGGGACGAGGCACGTCTTAAGAAAAATGTGGGGAATGTTTTGAAAATAGTGTGCAAAAGTTTAATGTTGCTTTTCAGTAGTTTGCAGCTAACTTTATTAGTTTCCTACCGGTTTATAAATTTTCTTAACTACAAGAAAGATGGCTTGGACATTAGGTCATTATTTATTTGACGTCAGACATTTACTTGCTGGAAAATTGGCGTGGAAAATTGTGGATGTTTCTTTATTATGAGCCAAATTTATGTTGGTTAGCTAAGTATGATAAATCAGATGTTGCTAGAAATATTCCACCTTCTCTTCATACAACAAAATTGTAGAAACAAATATGACCCCATTTCCAAATTCTTAGAGAGTTCAACAAGTGGGTTGTAGGATCGGTCCAAATTAATTTTTCGCAAGATAATTGGTGTCGCACTATTCTTGATCCTGGAAAAACGCTACAATTTTATGAAGCAATGCAAAATAAACCGGAGTTAATGCATTCATGTCGAGATTTCTTAATTCTGGACTCGATGCTCCGAACCAGGGGTGTGCATCACTAGTCTAAATGTGCATCTTGTAATCAATCTCACGAGGAATCAATCTTACATTTATTTTCCCATTCGGATATCAATCTCCGAACCACATTCACCTTATGTGTATTGGAATGAAGGCTAATAAAGAGGTGTATGTGTGAAGTAGGATGCTTGATATTCTTGTTCGTCGTATTATGCTGAAGAGAGGTCAATGGATTCGATAGGAACCTCCTGATTATGGTAGATGTAAATTGAATGTTGATGGTTCCAACAAGATGAATGAAAACCGTAGGGGAGGAATTGTTAGAAACCATAAAAGCGTTCTCTCAATTATGGAGATCGTTCGAATCTTTTTGTTGAAGTAGCTAGTGCTCTTCTCGAGAGGATGAAACTATGCAACGAGACAGCGGTTCATAGCCTTTGTATTGAAACATACTCCAAACTTATTGTTGATATGTTATATGGGCGGAAATGTGCATGGGAAATCCATTACAGTATCGCGAATTTTTGAAAGCTGCTAAAGGATGATTGGCATATTGTTCATGTATACTGAGAAAAGAACTCAGTTGCAGACTGTTTAGATAGGATATCCTATGTTCATAAAAGCGCTTAATATTTCTCTTCTCATAATTGTATACATTCGGGGTAAGCAAAAATATCGAAAAACCGAAAAACCGAACCAAAACACCGAAAATCGAGCCGTTTCAAACCATACCGAATAGCAAACCGCATGTACGGTTTTTTATTTTTGAAATACCGAATTATTTGGTTCGGTATGGTGGAAAGGTAAATAACCGAACCGAAACTATAAAATGACTTCATGCTATATAATATATGTATTATTTTACCTAATTTTTTTTTTCTATCTTTCAATTACTTGTCTTATTCTAAGTAGGTGTTCATAAATTGAGACATTGTATTTTAATATTTAGTAACTAAATATTTACTTGAGTTCATGGTTTTAATAATGTGGTAGATGAAAGTAGGAAAAAAGATGAAGCATAATACAACTTGAATATTACGTTTAAGTCCTATGGGATTAAATATTTTATATTTTCATTGCATTAGTAAGTTGTGAAAGTAATTGTAATTGCATTCTTTTGTTTGTACAACTTGAATATATAGTTACTCTTGAACCAAAAAATAACCGAAATCGAACCGAAAAAAACCGAAACCGAACCGAAACCGAAAGAAACCGAACCAATAAAACTGACATACACGGTTTTAATTTTACAAAAACCGATATATTCGGTTCATGTTCGGTTTTAGCCAAAAATCGAACCGAACCGAGCCGTGCACACCCCTAGTATACATGCTAGCAGGGTTGGGCATGGGTCGGGTGGGTTATTTATCTGCCAATTACCTACCCAATCCGACTATTCGATTTTGCTGAAAATTAAAAACCATTACCGGCTTAACCATTATGGGTCGAGTAATGGTTGGCAACTGACTTTGTCGGGTAAATAATGGGTGATTGGTTAGTATTATCGGCCGTCTATTCATTTTTAATAAGATGTTTTTCAAAGTTTTTTCAAAAGATATTCAATATCTTGGGAAACCTATGTTGTAAAAATCTTACCTTTAAAATTCAAAGTGTTTTTTTTTATTCTTTTATTTTTATTTTTTATTAACTTCTATAATAAGTAAATATATATTGAAGAATATGAAATAAGAATTATAAAATAGAAATAGTACGAAGAGGTGTATAAATTTGTGTTTTAAGTTTTTACTTCTTTTATATATTAATTTAATATTAAAATATAATAATTACTATTATATATTTTGAATAAAAAATATTAAAAAAGTCGGTTGGTCAATATTACTCGACCAGCCGAATTTTGAGTAAATTGAAAACTATCGATCGACCGATTTACATACGGGTCGGTTAAAATTATTGATTTGACAACAAAATTATCAACCGAAAAATTTATTAACCGAAAGAAGCTGGTCGAAAGTGGGTCAATTAATCGATAAAACCGACCCATGCCCAATCCTATATGCTAGGGTGCGTCATTTCATTCCTTTGGTATAATACAACTTTGTAAATTTCATCGTAATCCCACAAGGTTTTAATGACGCCCCTTGCATTTTTAACAATAACAATTTTTGGCAAAAAAAAAAAAAAATGAAAAAAAAATCAAAATAAGTCGTTCACAAAAAATAAAAATAAAATAAACATTAAAAGAAAAAGAGGAATGGAGAATCGAACACCTTTAATTTGGGCCTTTTTGAGCCCATAACATAAAGTGATCCATAATTCACGAGAAAAAGAAAAAAAAAAGAAAAAAAAAAGAAAAAAGAAAAGCAAAAGTACCAAAACAAAAATATCCAGATCCCTTATTGCAATTGCAAATCTTACCTTATTTTCAACGCCATTGCAACAGCTGTCATCGTCATCGTCATCTGTTCTACTCCGATCTCATTCAGGGTACGATTCCTAAATATCTATCCCCATAGATTTTTTTTTTTTTTTTAATTTTTTTAATTTTTAATGTTTTTGGGTTCGCCCCGCCTAATTGTTTTAATTATTGTAACTATCTGTTCAATCATTCTTGAAATTGGACTATTGGGTTCTTCAATTTGATTTCTGGGTAATTTTTCATTGCTTTTTTTCAATCTAGGGTTGCGTAGATCATCCTAATTTTGTTACTATTAAGGGCTGGGGTTTGATCTAGCTCACTTTAAAAATTCGGCCTTTTTTTTAATGGATTAATTTAATTATGTTGTTTAATTGTAAAATTTGACTTGCTTTTGATTAAAATAGATAGGAGAATTCTTGTTTGTTACACTATTAGTAATTAATGATTTATTTTATTTATTTTTTCTATAATTGTGAAGGCTAATTTTGTTTTTTGTTTTTTTGGGGAAAACAGAAAGTGATGAGGCGTAAAGTACCGTCTTTAGTCGACTTATGTGTTCGTACAGCGATCGACAACATTAAGTATTTAGGAGATGTCGGAGAAACCGACCATCATCTCTTGGATCGAATTTTGTCGCACTGTAATCTTGACGAGTTGAAGCACATCGAGGACAGTACACAAGTAAGGCATTTCTCACGATCCCATTTTGCCCGTTTCTAAAACATAATATTTATCGTTCTTTTACGTGTAAATGGCAATTTAAATTGTTTTGGTCTTATTATTACAGGGTAGTGATCTTAGTCCCGTGACCGATAAAATGTGGAAGAAATTTTACAAGGTCAGATTCGGTGCTGATAGTACAGATATGGTTGTCGAGAGGATGCGAAAGAGAAAAACTACCGTATTATGGAGATTACTATACGAGGTATTCTAGTTCCTGTCGAATTAATGATTCCCCTTTTTATTTACCCGTTCGATGTGTTATTTACATATGTGAGACCTTACTATAGGCGAAGCTTAGTGAGATGGAACAGGCTGAAAAAGAATCTGTTGATCGAATGACGCAAAGATATCGAGAAGAAACTGCTAGTAAGTATTTATTTATTTATTTAATTTTGTCAATCATTAATCAAACAATTTTTGTTATTGGCTCGTATATATTTCATATTTGCCATGGTTTTATCTGGCGTATTTCAAACCCCTTCTCGAATTTCTTGCATCGTTTGATTTCACAATATGATTTTCTCATCCCCCTTGTTTATTTTTTATTTTTTCAAATTACTATTGCAATTAATTGTAAAACTGCCGGATATATATTTACGTGCCTAGGCATGTTTTATAATCGCTTTTGAACTTTTAATATGGAAATGTAACTCGTATTGTTACAATTATAACCGTCACTTCTCTAGGGTGTTTATTTTTTTTATTATATAGTCATATTTTTATTATGTAGTTATTTTTTTTTTTCGTTTTTGGTGCTTCTTGTGAATTGCAATTAGTGTTAATTCATATTGACGATTTAATCTTGTAGGGAAACAAAGTCGACAGGTGAAGCTGTGCTCAAAGGTTCCACCTTCTTCTAGCAGGAAACGAAGTTTTTGTGGAGGTATATTTTTTCGTTCCTCGGCTTATATTAATTTTTAGCTTAATTCGAGTAGGTTAATTACTCTCGGAACATTCCGGAGAATGTAACATGTTTTTGTCGTTAAATCATACATAGGTGTCGGTGCTAGCAACATTTACAACACAAAGAGTAGCTTGATGAAGAAGGCAAAGATAGAATTCGTTAACAGGTAAATTTCCTATAATTGCTGCAGCAACATAATTTTACTGAAATACATCCGTAGAATGTAACGAAAAGATATTTATTTTCTTGTAATTGTTTTTTTTTTTCCTTTTCTTTAAGATATCAAGAATTCATCTTCCGTGTTTGTTCGAGCATTAATTTCTGCACTATTTTTTTTTACAGCCGAGAGGTTAAGAATATCGCAGCTATGAAGAATAAGATGGTGCACAGGAATCATAGGTAATTATTTTTCAATAACCACATTAAATTGTTAATTTAATCTCTATAATTAATTATTTATTTATTGATCATGCCATCGTTTTTGCATGTCCTCTTTAGTGTTTCTTCCACGGGGAAGCCACTTACTTCTGGATATGCATCTTCGTCATCCAAACTGACGACGAAGCCGTACGAGAGAAGATTTTAAAGATGTTAAAAGTCATTTTTCTAAATTAGCAGTATTGTATAATATTATTTACAAGCAATGAAACATGATGTATTTCTAATATTACATGGCTTTAAAAAAAAAATCATCTCATAGTTATTGTCCTTGTTAATAATATATGTTTGTTGTCTTTTTCAATTTTTTTTTGTCTCAAGATTGTTAGTTTCAGAAGGTGGATAGTTAATTCTTTTAGGACAATTATGAAAATTGAAGTGATCAAAATTATTTCTATGGTTTTGATAGGTGTTTTAGATGCTTACATTAATACATTCGGTAAAATACACAGAAGTTTCTGTCAGCTTTTGATATACACACAGTTATATATTTGCGGTGTAATAATATTTAACTTCATTTTACATGTAAATATTAACAAATTTGAAATTTATAATGAAATGAACATTTTCACGTTTAAGTTTGAGACGTGCTATTTTCACTCTTAAAATATCTTATTTCACCACCAAGTTTAATATATTTCCTATTTTACTCATGTTTTCTTTTTCACCTATATTTTGTACAAATTCATAAATTATCCACCACCAAATTAATAAGAATATTCAAAAAAAAAAAAAAAACTCCACAATTTTCATCTTTACCACAAAATTCTACCCTCTCCAGCTTAAGTGAACGATATACTTCGTCGGAAAAAAACACCTGAGTGTCAAAAGAAGCAAAAGTTCACGTTCTTGAAGAAATAAACTAAGAGCGCTCATGTATAAATAAATTTGAAACAAAAAACAGATATTTTTTATATTGTTGTTAGTGGAATAAAATTTAAAAAATGTTAAATTTTATTCAGCACAAGCTGACCGTTGGTTCAAATTGGAAGATTATTAGAATCTTGTCTTTGCCTTTTAGGTTATTTCATTACAAAAAAAAAAGGAAAAAAAAAAAGAAAAAAACTTAAAACATATGAGAATTAAGCGAATATAAGGGAAGATAGTGGATTATAAATTTGAAGAGTATTTTTGATATTTTATATAAATTTGGTGGTGAATTGAGATAATTTGGAGGTGTAAATAGCACCACTCTTAAGTTTTAACCAGTTTCTTGAAAGTAAAAAAAAAGAAACATACTTTATTATAACGCTTTGTTTTAGAATAATAAAAATTTGAATTTACAATTTAGAATAAAAAAAATAATCTAAAAACAAAAATATTTGAAACTAAAACTGGGTTGGATTGGAATGGAATGGAATTAGGGAAGAACATCAAAATATAATTCTAGAATTTCATCAATTTAGACACAAAAAACCGAAAACAAAAAGAAAAAGAAAAAAACAATCGAGTTTAAAATGTTTTGTTTTCATTTTGAGTTCTAGATTTTCGTATTTTTCCAACACTTTTAACTTTCGCATGTGTCCAAGCGAAATATTTTCTAGAATATAATGACATTGATTCTCTTGATTATTTTCTAAGAATAAGCAGCAATGTAGAATAGTAGAATACTCCTTTAAAGTTAAATAATGAATAGTTTATCTCGTTTATTTTAGGCTTTTAGCACTTTATTTAGCATTATAATTTATGGCAAATGACAAATATGCCCCTGACAAAGACACTTAATTTAAAAAAAATGCTTATTTTTGTTGATAAACTAATAAAAAATATATAAGAAGTAGAGAACAAACTAGTGAGAATATGTAATATGTTATTCCATTTTTTCGAGTGTACAAAATACAATACATTGCAACTAATTTATAGGTGTAAAAAAGTTAGTCAAAATTCATGAGTTACAAGATCTTAATGATGAATAATGGTGGAGGTAATGTGGGTTTAATGTAGAGTGTAATGGTGGTCATCCATAACCTCCAAGAATTCACAATACTCCCCCCCTTGAATGTCCACCATTTATGGAATATGCCTCGTTAAAACCTTGTTAGGAAAACCCGATGGGACAAAACATAAACGAAGGAAAAATAGTATATATCCATCTGAAGCTTGTGGCGTAACACTGCCTCGTTAAAACCTTGCCAAGAAAATACAATAGAACAAAAACTTGGATGAAGGAAAAATAGTACAGTGTTGCCGTTACTGATCATGCTCCCCCTGATTTCGACATGAGATATATGAGTCTCCACAAGATTTAAGTTGCTCCAAATGATAATGGAAATAAATTTATTTGATTATTCCTTTTGTAAACAAGGTATTCACTAAGGTGACAATACCATATTCTTGAATATGTAAATGTATCATTCGTAGAGTCTAACTCAAGATCTCTTATTATATGCTTCAAACATTTTCAATTCTTTATTAATTTTATGATCCATGTAGATATGCAGTAATTGCATCCATATGATGCCTGTCAAATAATTTGAATACCATAAATTGATTGCATCGAAAATATATTTTTCAAAAGGTATTCAAATGTACCGCAATAATTTTACCAACTTTTGCACTAAAGGCTTTCACAACTTTATGTGTGATGACTGCAAGTCAATGTACAATTCATTTCATCAATAATTTCAAATAATCATGGTCAATTGCATTTGTGAATGCATATACTAATGACCAATTAGATGTCGACATCTATTAAAATTGATGAGCTTCAAGCTCTTAACATTAAAAATAATTATACATATAGTGATTCGACAACATCTCCCCATATTTCTTTATAATCAATCAAGAGCTCACTATGTCACTTTCCGGTACCGGATTCTCTTTAGAGAATTATATTCATATAAATGGGGATTGTAGCATTTGTGGGTACGATCTCTTGTAGAGATCCATATCTTTTCATGTACCATGTACTTTTTTCTTATAGAGAATTTTCTATTGCATCAATAAAAGTTTTTCATAATACTTATGTACTTGAGCTCATTATTTATTTCAATAAAATGTCCTACATGGACAAAACGCGTGCTTTTGAGTTTTACAATGTGCAGGGTGTTGGGAATCGGGAACGTGTACGTAGCAAAATTTTTTATTTTATTTTATTTATATAAATTAATTTATATAAACAAACACGTGCACAATAATTACAATTAATTATGTACCTTTTCGCTTCCAATCACCGACAAACATGCTCACATATATAATTAATATAAATAACATAATTATATCATCATAGCATGCTCGCAAAATTAAATCAAATAATAAACATGCTCAACGAACGATTCACATAAACACATAATCGAACATATAGATTCATGTGATTCAATTATCAATTAACATACATTAATCTCAATTAATATTAATTAATTATAATATATATATATATATATATATATATATATTAATTAGGGTAAACGATATTTTACCATTGAAGCGTGAATCGAACGAAGACTCGAGAAGATGGCTAACTGCTCTTCCCACTCCTACTGATCCAAATTGTTTGCTGATCCGAAATTACAGGCCTGCTTCGACTTCAATATCTCCAAGGTTATTGACTGGATCGAAAATTCATTCTGAACTATTGTAGATCCATGAGTCTTGAAACTTGTGTCAAAATTTCACGTTCATCCGATCAATGGTTGATTAGTGGCGAATTTTCTCGATGGACTGCGCAGAAAATCCGAGAGCAGTTTTTTCAGAATCGCCTTCTCGCATCACCGGCTTGTGTCGGCGCGTAGGGGCGCGTGGAGACGACCCTGGTGGCGGTGTTGGTGGCATAATAATCTTCCTCCTCTTAGGTTTCACCTCGTATATTTAATCCACTATCCACGCAACACTTGATATGTGATAGGCTAAGTACAACGAAGAAGAACGAGGGGAAAAGGAAGATGCCAATGCGGCGGCGACTGGCGGCGGGGGGTGGCGAAGGTAGGATTTCGACTGCGAGGTGGACAGCTGATGGAGGGAGAGAGGCTAGGGTTTCATTCTTACGTTTCGTTGGTTTTGTGTGTCTTTCACAAGACATATGAATCATATTTATATGCTCCTTGTGAAAACCCTAACATGCCTTAAGTTGGGCTAGACCCAACAGCTTAAGTCCACTCTCTTTCTCGGCTCGTTTCTAACAAACGAATGCTCGCAATAATATAACAATTATATTTTGACGACGAGCACAAACTCTCGTTGATACGAGTACCACTTTGCAATTTACCAATTTCCGAAATTGGAAACCCTAATTTAGGACCTACCAAATCGGGAAAAGTTCCCAATGTAGAAAGTTCACCAACTTTCTGTCAAATTCTTTTCGCTTCTTATTCTCATTCTTAATTAACAATTACGAGTGTTGGACTCAATCACATTGACTTCCAATTACACTAAGATTAACTAGTTAATCTTAACTCGTTGCATTAAGGATCTCAAGTACACGAGCAGTGTGACCCTCGATGGTTCAGGTGTAAGCTTGCCGTGGGCCCACAACCCATTGTGGTTTAAACTCGTCCCTAGAGTTATAATTAAGTTGAATCTAGTTTCAATTTAACTACCCAACAAATAAAGATTGGCGTCTAGCAACTACACGTCACGATTCCCTAGATAAAAATGAAGTGCCTGCAAGAACCGTGTGATATAGTTAACGTACAGTACGATCCATTCGATACATATATCCCGATTGAACCAGATGCTTTGGTTCGTCGAGACCTCTTTATGAGTTCAATAGCTGTGTGGACGTTCTTGATTATATAATCCGTTCGTGTTTGACTTAGAGAAATATATTTCTCTAATCACGACACTTTCAACTATGGGGGCCACAGACTTCATGGATTATAAATCGCAAGAACACACAGGATATCCATGACTGATCAAGCGATTGAATCCCCTACTACAATGCACATACCTCTTACTAGATTTCGGACTACACGAACACTGGCCCTTGGGGCGGTCCTCGGTGGAACTCAGGACATGTCACGATACAACTAGTCCTCTAGTGTAGTCACGGTGATTTCTGGGTCTTAAGAATTAATGGTGTACAACTATATCATAGAAACCTCTACTCGATTATTGGGAACCACTTAGAGATCTCTAGATTGAGGGAGTTCAGTGAACTCATCAACTTATGAGCACCCACTTATGTATGTCGATGTCACAACACCATTGACTGATGAGACGCAGCACTCATACACTAAGTGCTAGTCTCGAATGGGAAAAACCGATATCCTCATTAGTGGCGTAACCCGTTGACTAGGAACTATGTTTAACAGTTACTATACTTAAATAAATAATCTCACGATTCTACTAGATCTATTTATAGTAATTAAATCTGTAAAGACTACATCTATGCTTATGCAAGGGACAAAGATATAGAATGCCAACGGGGGTTTTTATCATTAATATCAAATACATTATTTACGAGTAGCGTGAGAAAACACAACAATTAGTTGGCTCTTCGGTCAGCTACTCTAACACATGGATTATTGAGGACTACTTGTCCACTTTATTTCAAACTCAATATTACCAAATTCAATTTGGTACATGAATATTCATTCGAAAAAAAAAAATTAATTCTTTAAGATGTATATCGGTACAACAACAAAATCGAGAACTAATGGTCTCAAATGCCTCTCTATTCACCTAGAGAGCAAGCTAACCATGATTTATTTGCCAATCAACTCTTTATTGGCACATAACGGTTCGATTTATAATGGCCTCGGTAGCTACCATATAATCACCAATGATTTTCTCATCCAAATATGTATTTCATTTATGCCACCATAATTGGCAAGTATTCTCATATCATAGTAATGGATATTTGTGTTGAGGCGTCCCCCAACATTGTCTTTAAGACGAATCCTTTCATCGAATGAGATAAGTAATAGGATGAGAGTATGATGCTATTAGCGCTAGTAGACTTTGGTTACACGATATTCACCCACTTCTTGGTGTGTTAATCATTCGAACCAACATATATATCCCCCTCTTATATGTATAAAGTATAATTGATTAGTTGTATACCATAATCATTTTTCACCCCATTTAGGGATTCAGGATGCCATCACAATGTGAAATTTGTCCTTCGACGACATTCAATTATAAGTCTTTCATGGCAAAATCTAATGTGCAATGTGTCGTTGGACATTTTCTCTTGCACTCATTTGCAACATATGTAATAATCTCAAGTTGCCATTTTGTTGATAAATGCATCTAGCATTTTACACATTAAAATTGTTGCAAATGAATTCTTTTTTCTTTTGTGCTTAAATATTGCCATGCACAAATCTAGATGAGACAAAGATCATTTCATATAATTTACGCCGTTATACAAGAACCGGCTTCTTATATCCCCCTTAACGGCGGGAAAATTGTCTCATTAAAATGGCAAACAATCGAATTCCGACCACTGGAGAGAGAGTCATGACTCCGAGAACATCGCCGGTTGGAGACCTATGGGGGCGGGATTTGATATGAGAGTTAAGAGGAAGAGAAAGACGGTTGTAGGTTGGCTAGGATTTAAAACTAATTTTAAAAGGGCATTTTTTGTACTTTAAAGTGGCCGCGGGGTATCCCAAATTAATATCAAAATGGAAGGGGTATGCACTAGGAAGTCTAGGATGTAATATCGTTGGTGGTTAGTTCCAAATATTTTCCATATGAGGGGGTCCATAAAATAATCTTAATAGAATGATATCCTACTTTTTTCTCTTGTACATATATCCACTCATTCAAACTTATTTGCTAATAAAGAAAACTCTTTCATATATACCAAAATTACCCCTAACTCGTTGAAACCCTAATTCAACTCTATTTTAATGCTTTACACCCCCAATATAACCCAACTAATCAATTTTGACCATTATTTCAATTTTGACCCCTGCTGTCGGAAAACGCTGGTCTCAGGAGTTGACTTTTTTTTTCGATTTTTTTTTCCCCACAGGTCAGCTCCCGTTGATTGTGAGTCTCCGACGTTGACCATGTTTTTTTTTTTAACTTTTTTTTTATAAATATTTTTCATTAATATTACTGGCTTGGCCTACAATATTACTGTATGAGACGACAGTAATATTGCAGCAAAGACAATAATATTACTGTAATAACTGTAATATTACTGTCCTAACTCTAATATTATATTACTGTCTTAGACAATACTATTGTTGTTGTATTACTAATATTACTATTTTTGACAATCATATTAGTAAGAGTTGGGGTAATTTTGTCGTATACATTGTGTTTTCCTATATTTATAATACATATTAAATGGATAGAATTATTGGCGAAAGAGATATAACCTCTGAACCTAGAATAATAAAGATGGTTGGTTAGAGACTTATATATAAAAACCCATAAATATATAATGAGTAAATGCTTTAATCCAATATTTGAAAAAATCATACATGCTAAATATTTATTTACTATATTCATCCACAATGCAAAAATTTTTTTAATAAAAACAAGGTGTCATTTTGTAGGAAGTATTAAAAAAACATATCGAATTTAATGATAAATTTATACTAATTTAACACCGTTAGTAATATAATAGGTTAACCGTTAAGTTAAGGACTAAGTGTACTTTACGTAGTAAAAGGGGTAAGTGTTACGTATGGAATAATACAAGAGGTAAAGTGTGTATTTTACCCTATTATATATATACAACCAAGTGAAATTAAAGACATTTTTGGCTTTACAAATGATTGGAGATAAGGTCATATTTTACCTTTTACATGTGAAGAAGTATCACTCCCTCATGCCCTTATGTCCTCACTACCTAGTGAGATTTATTTAATTACCAGGACAACAAAACTCAAATTACAACTCAAATACCAACACTAAGTAACATCGTGTTTGCCTCAACAAATGCACGGATTTAATTTATTTAATCTTCGATCTTGTGGCGTAATTGCTCGAAAACATCATTCCGACGAATTTTAAGGTTCAAATTGCTTCCTCAATAATATTGCTCGTATTATTTTCGACGTCCCTGTTTTGCTTGAGCTCACGATCAAGATTCGTTTCACCAACCTTCTTCGCATTTTTGTAGATCATGTACAAGATCATTTGAGCAATTCCGAATAAAAACCCCAGAACATTTGGCATCTAGATATCAAACCATTCAAGAAAAAAAAGGAAAAAACACAAGTTATTAATTATTTATGATATTGAGAATTATAATATAAGGATAAAACTCAAAATTTCATGGTTTTTGGTAGAAATATATTTGATAATTGATACTCACTGCAATATAGTAATCCCTAACGAAGAATCCGTAGAAGAACCATGTTATTGCACAAAGGGTGAGGAAGAAGGATAGCGTGAACGGCATGAACTCTACGCTTTTTGTTCTTATGACCTGTCTCTGCAGACGACGAAAAAAGATAGGAAAAAGAAATTGAACAATTAAAATAGTAAAGTATTTATTTGAATAAACACATATCATAAGAATCCAAGATTAAATGAAATAGTAAAAGTACTTTTGTTATATTAAGAAAAAAAAAAAAAGTTCAATATATTTTTACGACGCGTAAAACAAAGAAATGCATGCTATAGGAAAAAAAAAAACAAAAGGAATTAACCAAATAAAATAGAGAAATATTAGGTTAATATGAGGAATATATGTTTACCATGATGCTTAGAGGAGCAGCAAAAACAGCTATGTTGACAATAGCACACACCCATCCTACAAAAGATACCCTCTTCGGACCTTTAAACCCAAGTTGAGAAACTGCCGTCATCAGCCCTAAGCCTCCGATGTTAAAAAAGACGATCAATCTCATCGTGAAAATCTGCACAAAAAAAAAAAAGGATGTGAATATATGTACATATACATTTTTATCTATATGTATGCGTATAGTCGTGTAGATGATATAGTATTTACCTTGGACTTTTTGGGTGCATACATTAGGTAGATTAAGAGGTAAATCGCTTCAATGACACATCCAATACCGTTGATGCTAACAATCATGTAAGCGTTCGTCTTGAGGAATGCGTAGTACAACAACAACGAAGCGCTAAAAAACGCAACCGAATATGGTATTGATTGGAAACCTTTCGATGATTTCTGCTTCCAAATCGTATAAAAGGTTGGCCTATAAATCAAAAAACGAAGAATTAGGGTTCTTTTGCAATATAAATAAATATTCTAAGTTTGTGACGTATATATATATGTATGTATGGGGTACTTACAATGGTGACAAAAATACAAGGAAAGATATTATATTACCTGTGCAAAATTTCCAAATAGATAAAGGTTAGAATATTGAGGATTAACGAAATAAATCGAAAACTTACTACGATACCAAGTTTAAAAAAAACATCGTAAGTTTTTTTTACCCAGAAGGCCGAAAATGAATTCTAGTTCTTTAGCACTTAAAGATCCCATTTTTTATGGTGTTCTTCAACGAATGTCGTCGTATATAATAATGAAGAACACTTGAAAACAAATGAACTACTCTAGTATTTTCTACAATATGCACAAGCTTATTTATAGGCAATTGCAGCTCAAAAAATGGTTTTTTACTACCACTGTATATTAACAGTAGCAAAAAGGTGCCAAATTCGTTGACAAAAACCTTTGCTACGGTAAACAGCCGTGGCAAATATTTGTTTGCTACGATGAATCCTAGCATTTATTACGACTCCGAGATTGTGGTGTAGTAAAAAGTACTTTTGTAATGGTTCTTTAATGTAGCCAAAAAATATTGTATAGTAAAATACCAATTTTTCTTGTAGTGATTTGGTCATATTGTTACTTAAGTTTTAAGAATGTAAAATGGGGTGGCGTTACCAAATATTTTTTCTTCTTACATGTTTGAGGAAATTCAGTAAAACGCAATAAAAATTAAACCAACTAATTATATATTAGCACAAGGCTGACATGCAGAAGACAGGTAAAACACGTATTTGATTATACTACCACGTAATTTCAGGTAAGTTAAGGTTGGTTATATAACATATTTGGTTTTTTTTTTTTATTAAATTAATTGATTTCCTTTTTGATACACAACATATGTGCAGATACTCAGCTAACTTTCAATTTTGATATTTTTGTGCATAAGAGCAACTCCAATGGGAGTATTAAATGAATTATCAAACTCATAAACCACTTTTTGATATCCCAAAATTAAAAATTTCTATTCCAATGGGAGTATCAAAATGGGTAAGTAATTCGATATTCTGCCTCTTTGTATGTAAAATTAGAAATTGAGTTATCAAAAAAATAACCACCTAAACATCCAATTACAAAATGACACATGCCAATTACAAATAAACCAACTAAAAAACTTCCAATTGATTATTAATTTTGATAACCATGGTTGGAGTAGATAAACTATAAGAGCAACTCCAACGGGATTATTAAATGGGTTATCAAACACATTAACCTCCATTTGACTCCCCAAATTTAAGAACTATCTACTCCAATGGGGTTTTTAAAATAGAGTTCTATTTTGATAACTCATCCATCGGGAAGTAAAAATACATCCCAAATAAATAATTATCAAATATTCTCCTAAAAAATAGGAGCACGCTGAAAAAAGAAAAAAACCTCAACAAAATTGAGTTTTCTTTTCTTTACGTAAAAATCTCAACGGAATAAAATTAAATTTTCTACCCTATTCAACAAATTTCCTCTAAAAAAAATCTCAAAAAAATCTCAACACAATTTTTTTTTCTCTAGAGCTTCAATAAAGTTCCAAGGAAAAAAAAGAATTTCTATGTATATATAATTTTTTTTCTATTTTCAAAAGGTAAAAACGTGATTAATATTGATTTTGATGATAGTTTACCAGAAAAATCGGTTTTGTATGATTATTTAAAATAGATTAAAAAATAAATAATATATAAATAATCATAAATTTGTTTGATAATTGTTTTTAATACTTGTGGCTGGAGTTCACTAGTTGTATAGAGATATCAAAATATAATCTTGGTTATCAAATGAGTATTAGATAACCCCATTTGATAACAATGGGTTGGAGTTGCTCTAAATGGATATTAAAATATTATCTTAATTATCAAATGAGTATTTGATAATCCAATTTTGATGTTTAGCATTGGAATTGCTCTAAGTCTCTAATCAAGTATCTTTATTATTCTAAGTTTATGGACTATATCTCTTTCACCAATAAGTCCATCTCTTTAATATTTATGATAAATAAAGGAAAAATTGATGCATAAGACAAAATTACCCTCAACCCTTTATACCCAATTCTTAATTGTAATCCCAATTTAATCAATTTTGACCACAAAAATTCAATTTTAACTTTTTTTCGAAACTCTTTTTTGCCGCCAGAATCCGGCGTTGACTTTTTGTTTTTCCTTCTGGTCTTTTTTCCGCTTCCGGATTCCGGCGTTAACTTTTTTAGTGTCTTTTTGTTTTGTTTTTTTTTGTTTTTTTCTAACGTCCGCCGCTAAACGTTGACCGTAAATGTGCTGTCATTAATGGTAATTATACTGTCACTGACAGTACATTAGCGTAATTGTACTACCGTTGACAATACATTTATGTAATTATATTGTCGTTGACAGTAAATTAACGTAATATTATTATTATTTTTTTGTTAATTTTTTTTTAATTTTGTTTGATTTGTTGATAAGTCAACGTAATTATATTACTGTCGCTGACAGTAAAATAAATGTTAACCCAATAATATTACTGTCAACCACATCAATATTATTATTTTTTTTGAGTTTTTTTTGTTTTGTTTGAGTTATTCACGGAGTAACGTAATAATATTAATTCTATTATTGTAATATTATTGTAAACACAATAATATTACTGTGGTTGACGGTAATATTACTGTCAACCACATCAGTATTATTATTTTGTTTGAGTTTTTTTGTTTTGTTTGAGTTACTCACGGAGTAACGTAATAATATTAATGTCTATTATTGTAATATTACGGTGGTTGACAGTAATATTACTGTTATTATAGTAATATTAGTGTCACTCAGAGTAATATTAATTTTTTTGGCTTTTTATTATGTTTACATTTGTTGAATGGTCAACATAGTAATATTACTCTATTACACGTTAATAATGAGTTTTGTTGTGTTAATATTACTCTGTTAGAGATTAATATAGCAATGTTACTGTGTTAAACTGTAGTATAGTTAGTTTTACTGTGTTTAACAGTAATATAGTTAATATTACTTTCAATCACAACAATATTGATGTTTAAACGGGAAAAAAAAAGATGTCACAGAAAGAAAGAAAAAAATATTCGAAAAAGTCAATTCCGGAAACCTGTGGCGGAAAAATCAGGAAGAAGAAGAAAAAAAATGTCAACGCCGGAGACCGGCGGTCAACGGCGGTGACAGACGAAATTGTCCATAAAAATGTATTTTTGTTCAAAATTGAATAATATGTGAAATTTGGGGTCAAATTGAGGTTAAATTAAATGAAAGGATGAAATTGCAGCATATTAAAGTATGAGGGACTATTTTAGTATTTTACAACAATTTGGACCATGTGTGGACTTTTTTGTAAAATAATTTATTGTCTGGATCTCTTTATGAATAAGTATCCATTGATGAACTTATTTATAAAGAGTCCTTCGTTTTTTAAAAATAAAATAGAAAATGTTTTAAAAAATACTGGTTATTAGTGACATAATTAATTGACATAATCTATTGACATAATTAATTTTTGACAAAATTACCCTTAATCTTTTCAACCCATCAGATTCAAAATGTTGAAACCCTAATTTCATCCATTGACTTATTGACCGTTTGCCGACGTTGAAAGGTCAAACTTTTTCCCCGGCTAGTTTTGATTGACAATTTTGATGTTTACACCGGTCAATATTTTTCTTTTTTTGAAACATTTTAATTATTTTGCACTATATTGTTTGTGTTGACATTCTAATATGTTGTGTTGATAGGGGCCAATAAGTAATAGGAGTTGAACATTTGAATACCAAATGGGCTCAATATATGAATTGTAGAAGATTGGTTCTTATGGAGAAGGGCTTAAAAGATCTCGATCGGGAAGAAGTCGATCTGCTCATTGAATGAATTCAGCGTTGAAGGTAGTTCAACCATGCGGAAAGGAGGAGCTGTCTGACATAATGGAATTCACTAGTTTTGAGCATTGCACAAGAACGACGTCAAGATAAAAAGTTTATTGTTGAAGACATAAAATTGTGCTTTGTAAAAGTAAAATAGTGAAAATTCATTTTTTGCAGATCATCGTAAATGTAGGGTACAATTTTATGCGAAACCACGTGAAATTTTTATCTAATTTAAATTATATTTTACTAAATGTTCTAACACTTAGCGTAACAGTAAATCAAAAACCATAATCCGCAAAAATATATAATATTTGCACAAAATAAAACTAACAATTAGTATCAAGAGTGACGAATCAAGAGCACATCACTAGATACATTCAGTGAAATTTTGGGAATTGATTTGTTTTGTCACGTGCATATGTTTAATTCTAAAGCAACATCTACAGTACGACCACCTTTATTGGATGGGTCAAATTAATCTAATAGGAAATCAAAGATATATGAAAATGTTCATCAGTCTGTAGATGAACGAGTTTATCGTCGACTGATTGGACCGCACCCGTGTCTAAAGAACCGTAGGTGTGCAAACCGCAAAAACAAAAGAAACATGGATCGATGAGAGGTATTAACAGCCAATTATAACTCCAAGGCGATACTAATTAATTAGTTCTTACATGTTTGAGGAAATTCAATTAAACGCAAACGCTAATAATTAATTCCTAAACCATCTAATTATATATTAGCACATGATGACATGTAGAAGACAGGATAAATACCTGATTGATTATACTACCACGTATTTTCATGTAAGTTAAGGTTGGCTGTATAACATATTTGTTTTTTTTTTTAATTTTTTTATTATCACACTAATTGATTTCCTTTTTGAATTATAACATATGTGCACATACGCAGCTAACTTCATTTTTTAAAATTAAAAAAAAAAAAATATATATATATATATATATATATATATATATATATATATATATTTAAAAAAAAAAATTCGTAAGTAGTGGGGATGAGCTAAAGGTCTCTTACAAGAATTAGGTCTTTGGCCCCAAAGGGATCAGAGCTCTGTACATGAGACACATGCCAAGAATTAGGGTTGGGCCACAAATGAACGGCGGCCGGCAAAAGAGAAGGATAAGGAGTGGCACAGTGCCCGCACCGCTAGTCGTCGGCTTTGGCGCCGCCTGCCAGCTGGCGATCAAAGAGATGGAGTACGACGAAAAGAGGATAACCGCTCTGAAGGACCTTTCTGTTGAACGGTATTTGAGGCAAGCTTGAAATTTCTAACACATAATGGAAGCATATCTAGGGTTGTTTTGGGTAGATCTCGCGGAGGATGGCGTGGTGGAGGAAATTCACGCAAGTTAATCGACTGCGTTCAATAGTCGATTAAGGTTTAGTCGACTATGTTTCAGTAGTCGATTAAGGTTTAATTGACGACAATTCAGTAGTCGGATAAGGTTTATTCAAATACGTTTAAGTAGTCGGATACGGTTATCGACCACATTTTTTATTCATTTTTGGATATTTGTTTATTGATTCAATATTTTGCCCATGTAGTTGGACTTGGGGGCATAGCGGTTGTGCGTTTTTTCTTATACCATTGTTAATTCGTCATCCGATTTGTATAAAATCAATTACATTTTTTGTATATTTGGTGTTTTGTAAAAAATAGTTGAGTTTCGATTTTTTTAGTTGTTTTTGTTATTTTTTGAATCGTGGTGGGTTTCATTGACGACATTACGTTGTTTTTATTAGTTTTAATAGTTAATTTCATTATTTAACAACGATTTTATTAGTCAATTCCTTAACCGACTATGACTTAGTTGGTAGTCGATTAATACAGGAGACAGTGAAAAAAAAGTTAAAAAAACGTAAAAAATATTTTTTTTAAATGTAAAAATAATAAAAATAGTATTAATATTAATAAATAAAATAAACAATAGAAAACAAAAATTAATTTAAAAAAGAAAAAGAAAGGAGAAATGGGATGGGAGAAGTGAGAATAATATAGTGGAAGCCTGGAAGGGCAATTTAAGTATTAGAGTGAAAGTGAAAGGAGTATAGTCAAAGGATGAAATATGGATTGGATCTCATAAGGTAACGAAAAATATTGTTGTCATGAATAGTATCATATATATTTCGCAACGAATTTAATGTAAGACAACAACTTTGTTTATTCTAAAAGAGTATTTCATTTTGCTATGATATAAAATTGTAATAAATATATTTACAATGGCAACAACTTTATTTTCTTGTGAGTAAGTGACGAAAGACAATGAAATATTTTGTTGTAAATGCTCCAAGTGATTTGGCAACAAAATATAATCGTTTTCAATTTAATAACCAACTTTTTTTCTTGATTTTATCTCTCTCTCTCTCTCTCTCTCTCTCTCTCTCTCTCTCTCTCTATATATATATATATATATATATATATATATATATATATATATATATATATATATATATATATATATATATATATATATATATATATATATATATATGAATAATATTGAATTTATTATTTCATTAGAATAACATTTGTGTTTTGAAATTGATTTCGGTGAGGAAAAAAGAAGACAAACGGGAGAAGAAAAGAAATCGTTCAACGAGGTCAAGAACCAATGAAGGCATAAAACTCCACACTAAAAAAACGCGCACAACATAACCTTGAGATCTTCATGTTACGGATGATATTGAAATTTCCAACCGATGTATAAAAATTTGATACTCGAGCATGGATTCAAGGATAAACTTCGATAAGAGACCTAACGCCAAATGCAGGAGTGATCTTATAGTTAGTGAAGCCCGCATCAAAGAAGAGCTTTACCCATTCTTTCTCACTTCTTTCTTTCCCATTGAGATAAGCCATCATGGCCATATCGAAGAAGAGTTGATCTTCCATCGCCTTATTGTCGTCTCCTTCATAAATATTCATAACCATGTCGATGATAATCAATTTCCCTCCCCCTTTGTCCTTGTCCGGAATTGCATCTTTACATTTCTTCAGTATTTTGACACAATCTTCGTCGTTCCAGTCGTGCAATATCCACTATATATTTATGATTTGTACAATATTGTGTCAACATTATTTCTATAAAGAGTTGAAAGTTGAATATGAGAATAAAAGTAAGGTTCCTAAGAACTTGATTTTTGCACTAAACCCCTCGAGGGGGGAGGGGGGTGGGGTTGTTTGTAGTTCTCAAAATTAAAGTTTCTCATAGAGTGAAAAAGGGTATTTACCCCTAAGACTAATTAACAATTTAAAAAATACCCATAATTTTTGTTTATTTGCATTAGAGTTATTAATATTAAATAATACATTTCACTAATAAAATAAGTTTTTTGGTTGAGATGACTATTCAACAGTGTCTAACTATACAAAATAAATTGCATCATGTGAATCACCCAAGGCAAGTTGCATGGCGTATTCTTCTTTTCATTTTTCTATTTTGATCCAATAATTCAGATCCAATTTATGATTCACTGTAGGAACCACTAATTTAATACAAGCATACTGTACAATAAAAATATAGCATGATCTAAAATTAATAGTAAATGTAGAAACAAAGGTTTTATACATTATATTTTTCATAGATTTCGATATAAATTTATTCAAATTAATATTACTACTACCATGCAATTTGTAATTCGTACGTTATCAAATATTATAAATTCATAATCTATAATAATTTATATCCTGATGTATAATATATAACAAATTAAACTTTTACTTTTAAAACTCTTGTAATTAATAACATGTGAAAAATTTAATTACCTTGAGAAAAACCGCATCACCACAAGGGATAGCCTCAAACATATCTCCACCGACAAAGGTCAAATTATTGCTCCCTTCCAATCCAACCAAGTTATGCGGGAGGTCAAGAACAATGCATTTCAACTTAGGAAATGCATCTAAAATCGCCTTAGCCAAAGTTCCCGTATTACCCCCGACGTCCACCACCGACTCGATTCCATCAAACACATGCTTGCAGTCATCGATAAGTACACGAGCCACGAGCCTCGTATCGCTCGACATAACTTCATTGAACAAGTTACTCACCCTCGGCTCTCGCCCCGCGACCTCCCAAAAATTTGTCCCTCCGTTCGCCGTTTCGAACGGTGAGACGGGGCGATCGTCTGCGAGCCACTCCATCGTATGGTCCCACGGCTTCGTCAGAATCGGGTCCAATATGAGTAGGACAAGTGGCGCCACGGTGAAGTGGCCCTCCTTTAGCAAGAGACGAGAGGCCGGTGTAAGCCAATAACGCTCTTCTTCGTCCTTGATGAAGAATTCCGAGTGGACTAGAATCCGCATTAGACGGTATATGTAGTGGGATTTCGATTTGCTCATTGGGAGCGCGTCGACTAGTTCAGAGAGTTTGATAGGCTTGCCGTGGTTGTGGATAATATCGGGTATTCCGAGTTGAATCGCACTTTTTAGAGAGATGGATTTCATGAAGGTGAATATGTGGTTCCATATGTGAGTTTGAGCATGAAGAAGTTGATCTCTTGACAATTCTTGATCATTATTTGATTCAAGTAATGCCATTTTTTTACTATACTATAGTTTGTTTCATTTGTATTGATATTAGACTTCATGTATCTATAGAGCCAGGTTTTTGTGAAACTTTCATGAACAATGATTTTCTTTTTCTATTCTTTTGTTTAGAAAATTGGATAGTGGTGACTGGTGACAAATAGCATGGGCACCACCTTATTTAATTTGCACATTTATTTACTGACAGCTCAACAGAAAAGATGAATATATCCTAATATTTTTATTAATATTATTGAAAAGAAACGCTAGACAACCTTTGGTTATGTTTTCATCTCAATTTAAATATTTTCACGAAACGAATTCGTGTGTTAAAGTTTCTTTCTTTTTCAGATATGATGTGGCTGCCACAGTAAAAATTGTAATCATTAAAAAAAAAAACATCATTTTACTTTTCAAATTCTTTTTTCAAAATACATTTCACCAACAATTTTAAACATGATTTGATCGCTACAATATATTTCGTCTGATATCAAATTATAAACAAACATTACTTTAATTCTTCAATTATTATCTTAAAATATATTTCATCAAAATAAAATAAAAATAACTTTAAAAAACGTATACAAACATTGCCTTATTAATTAAGTTATAAAAGAATATCAAGATTTGCTGAATCTATTAAAATAACGATTAATTTGCATTCATCAATAAGTGACCGTTGGACAGAACAAGTTTCATGCTTGATGAGTCACCTCTGACAGTTTAAGATTTAAAATTTGAAATTAAATAAATTATTTTTAGGGAAATGATGAATACAGAACAATTTTTAGTGCATGTAGGATATTTTATAATTTTAACTTTATTTCTATTTTAATATTTTTGGACCCATGTTTTAGTAGCTATAGATATTTTAATATAAAATTAGTTATTGTTCTTTATTCATCATTAAGTATTTGTATAATTATATTTATTCTCTACAATTTCGAGCCTCAAACACATCTAAAGAAAACCCTAAATTTATTTGTCTTTAATATTCGATATGAGTATAATTAAATTTTTACCTCACTGTCAACCGTATCATCCTCCAAAACCGATAAATCTATGTTTTTGATGATTAGATGATTAATGGTATGGTATTCTACCAAATTAAAAATGTCGATGAAAAAGGAGTTTGAAAAAAATAAGATGATACATATATGTTATGAATTTTTAATTAAATTGTCTATGTTTACTAAAAATATTCGTGTGATATTTCCCAAAATAATGTCGTTGAAAACTTCAAATAAAAATGATTTAACAAAATAAGATGGTATATATTTTAGATTTTGAATTTTTAAAATAAAACATCTTATATTTACTGAAACTCGTCATGCATTTATCAGCACCCTTATTTTTATAACCATTATTTTGGTCCTTTAACCTTTCGTAGCCTCCATTAATTAGTGACCATCATATGGCCTTAAATTAATATTCTTGTCATAATTACAGTTAATTTTAGCATTATATAATGGGATAATTTGACAAACACCCCTCATTAGCCCCCTCTAATTACATTAAGTCCAAATTTTTTTCTTATTTTTGAGTTAAATCCAAAACAATTAAAATTAATAAAAGTTAATATAGTTTGACAATTATAACCTTTTCTCTTATCACGTTTATTTATATTTTATATTTTATATTTTATATTTTATACTCAGTTATTCAATATTTTTCTGTTAAGTCCCACATCCAAACCCTAGATCTGTCGTTCATCCCTTTCTACACAGACCACACCTATGCTGCCCTGCCCCACCACCACCACCACCACCTCTGTCCAACGGAAAAGTTCGCTGCGGCGGCAGACAGTGGGGGAGCAAGGCGGAGAGGATCGAGCCCAGAGTTGTGTCCTGCAGTTCCTGCAGCAGATGCATATAGGACACCGGATCCAAATTTACTCCGGCGACTATCTCCGACAGTAACTCGGTGATGGCGGCGGGAAGGAATATTGAATACCCCTTTAACATTTTTAAAACTAATATTTAAATATTGTTTTTCTCTTCTATTTATTTTTATTTTCACGATTTGTTTTATTTGGTTGATTGAGAATTGTTTGCTTTGAAATGATGATTGCACTGGGCTCTGAGCAGTTTATCTGCCAATTGATGGATAATGCAGCCTAGAAAGCTATGTCTGATCTTTGTTTAATTTCGTCATATTTAATTAACTAATTTGAAAAAAAAATATATTCTTAATCTGATCAATTTACACTTGTTGGCTTTTTGTAGGAGTGTCGGAATTGGATGTTGGTTGCTCAAATTCACCGTCGAACTGCACTATTGTCTACTTTTTTTTCTTTTTTTTTGCTGGTGTCAAAATGCACTAATATTACGGCGCCGGTGATTTTGGTCGGAGGAATAGAGAAGAAAAGATTGAGAGAAACAAACAGTTATATATATATATATATATATATATATATATATATATATATATATATATATATATATATATATATATATATATATATATATATATATATATACGCATTTACATATTCTTTGAGAGAGATATATATATCTATGTAAAGTGTATAGATAATTACAACACTCACACACACTCTAGGAATATATAATTAGGTGGGGGTTTTCTATACATAGAGAGGGGAGTTG